CGAGAGGGGCATGTAGTTCATTCTGTTCGCCATGCGAGTCAGTCAGGTACACGAGGAGCGAAAGGAGTTAATTATGTAAGAACAACTGATGACCATCACACACAATAAACATGACGTAAGGATGCTAATAAAATGCTTAATTTGTTTAGACTATTATTGTGGTTGTTTTGTAGCTTGATAAAAGTCATGCACAGTTGACAAACTAGATGAAAAAAAAATGTATGGCCTGTTCTTATGTGTGGGGAAACACTTATGATGCTTAACACCAATTCTCAAGTCAGTAGATTTGTTGTCAAGCCAGTTTTAATAAATGATAGAAGACTTCGGTAGTGAACAAATCGGTGTTTTAATCAATCGTTTGAATGAATGATTCAGTGATTCAATTTGAGTCCATAAAAGTTACTGAACGAATCTTAATGAATCTTGTTGATGAACGATTCAAAAGATTCTAGTTACTGAGATGAATAACAGTTACATTTTCAGGTTAACAGTCAGTATTAACTACTGATTTTCAAAAATAAATAAATAAAAAATAAAATAAAAACAATAAAAAGCGTAGGAGGACAGATCACGTATCTTCAGAGGTATCATTTAAACACTTATAGCACACCATTTGACAAAATTTGACATTTTTATTTTAAGTATTATAAATTAATTGAAGAAATTAAATGTACACTCTAAAAAATGCTGGGTTAAATATAACCCAGCGCTGGGTTAAAAAGGGACAAACCCAGCTACTGGGTTGTTTTGACCCAGGGGTTGGGTGGTTTTGAACCCAGCTATGGGGTTGTTTGGAACCCAACCGCTGGGTCAAACCCAGTAGTTATATTTAACCCAGCATTTTTTTAGTGTGTAAGGATGAGTAGGCCGTGCATTTGATAGCTTTTGTATAGGTATAAAGCAATTACCATGAAATGAAAGAAGGCTTACATGATATCCTAAACAGCATGCTAAAACTGAATTTCTATGGCCTTGTCTAAAATATAAAATTCAACAGTTTTCTATCTATCAATTTTTTTTATTTGTAATTGTATGAATACTAAAAGGCATAGATAGAGCAAATATAGGTTACAGCAATATACTGACGGTAGAAATATATGTCAGTTGCACAAATTTGTAAAGCTTTGGCAGTTTTAATTGTTTGGGGGTTCAGTTATTTCATTTTTCCATATAAATATTAAGATCTGTATTAAAACATACATAAGACTTTATGGTTTAGAATGTTTTATTATTTTTTTTACTTCTGATGCATATGGACTTTCCCCCCAAAAAAGTAGAGATTCATTAAACTTTCTGGATAATACTTATGAAACTCTTTTATAGTCCTGAGGAACGTGCTCAAGGAGAAGTTTCAGTAGTGCGCGTCACTTCCGGTCCATCTCACGTGAAAGGAGAAACAGAAACTCGCGGTTGGAAGTTTAGAAAATTCCCGAAGCAGAAGTGAGTGTTACAATCTATATCTCGGACCCCAAGTAACGATACATCAAAATGTTATGTACGATACATTAAAATGCCGTTATGTCCTAAAGCACCAACTACAGATTCTGTTCCGAAACAAACGGAGCATGTACACCTCTGATTGCGAAAGCTGATCCGAGATCAGCATCAGAAAGGCTGAATGGAAACACAAACACTCCCGTGACAACAAGGAAACTGCCGCCGCAGACTCGGCTCTTACAACATATAAACCTCAACACGACAGTCCACGATGTTTTACGCCTGTATTGTTGTATTATACAGTTTACTAAGTATTTGTTCCACAAATGACAGTAAAATAAAACACGCGTCAAAACCGGTGCGTCTGTTTACCGAGGAGGAGTTGCAAAGATACGATGGGAGCGAGGTAGGCTACGTGTTGGGTCACAAAAACACTGTACTAGTTTTATACGATATTTCTTTCAAGCTTAAATGCAAACTGCATTTACTAAAGCGTCCCCCGCCCCCCTTTACAGGAAGGACAACCAATTTACATGGCCATTAAAGGTGTAGTGTTTGACGTCTCAACTGGAAAAGGTTAGATGTTTTATTCAACATAACGTTCTCCAGGCTTTTGTGTGCTGGTGGAAGGAGGAACTACATCTATCAGTTTGAGAGATCAGTGTTTAATAGACAAATGCTTTGTTCCTTATTTTGCTCTTTGTGTAAACCACATGCCTATTTGCCTTTAATGGCTGAACTTTCCAACAGTGGAAAAAAACTGGGATTCCCAGGGCTGGAAAAGTTATGCTATTTAGCATAAAGTTCCAGGAGTTACGGGAATTCTTATAGTGAAATTGTGCGGTTATGTTGAGCTCTACTCCATTTCATCAGCTAGAAATTGTAATTTGTGATGACAGTCTATATAGATGTATGTAATCAAGAATGGCATGGGAGTTCCTTGTTTAAAGTGTGTGGAAACCCTGTTGTGTTTCTTTTATTTTCAGAGTTTTATGGAACGGGAGCATCTTATAATGCCCTTGTTGGCAAAGACTCAACCAGAGCTGTGGCCAAAATGTCCCTTGACCCAGCAGATCTCACATATGACACTGTAAGATGGGGATTTTAACAAATTCACAACTGTGCCACAGAAGAAAAACAATTAGTTTCAGTTTCTTAATATAAAGCTGAATATTGGATTCCATCAGACTTTTTTTGCACTAACTTACACATTGCCTCTTTTGTTTCCTATTTGTTAGACGGGCCTCACTGAGAGTCAACTACAGTCTCTTGAGCAGATATTCAAAGGCACATACAAAGCAAAATACCCCATCGTGGGATACACCAGCAGACGTGTTCTCAGTGAGGACGGCAGCCCCAATACAGAATTCAAACCTGAAGACCAACCGAGTTTCACCATTAAAGATGAGTTTTGATGCGTATACTAATGGTCTTATAATAAAGCTATCTAAAAGTCCAGTCAAAAGTCTGAATCATAGTTGTTTGTGACCTTTGTCTGTACTCTTAAATGGGCATGTGTAAATATGAGGTTGTCTGGTGGTCTTTCAGCCTATAGTCATAGAAAACATTATGATGCATACTGTCCCACGTGGGTTTTTCCCTGGTGGGCTGCTTTGAATGTCATTCAAATTAGGCCACCTACAGGTGAGTCAACTACAGTCTCTTGAGCAGATATTCAAAGGCACATACAAAGCAAAATACCCCATCGTGGGATACACCAGCAGACGTGTTCTCAGTGAGGACGGCAGCCCCAATACAGAATTCAAACCTGAAGACCAACCGAGTTTCACCATTAAAGATGAGTTTTGATGCGTATACTAATGGTCTTATAATAAAGCTATCTAAAAGTCCAGTCAAAAGTCTGAATCATAGTTGTTTGTGACCTTTGTCTGTACTCTTAAATGGGCATGTGTAAATATGAGGTTGTCTGGTGGTCTTTCAGCCTATAGTCATAGAAAACATTATGATGCATACTGTCCCACGTGGGTTTTTCCCTGGTGGGCTGCTTTGAATGTCATTCAAATTAGGCCACCTACAGGTGTGATTTAAAAAAAAATAAATAGGTTTGGTTGTTTGACATATTTACATGTATTAAATGATGTTAAATAGTAATTTTAAATGTTTGAGGTGTCTAAGAAGTATCTATAATTGTAAACGCATTAAATCTCTTGGTTTCTATTATTGTACATGAGGGGAAAGTTTGGTGATTCACACTTCACTTATAAATTGAAATTGCTTGTGGTGAGAGGTTTCATATTACAAATTAAGCATTAAAATATCATTTCACAAAAACATTTTTACTCAAACGCCATCTCAGTCATAATTATAGTGTTTGTGTCTAATCTTTAAGAAATGCCCTCAATGACCAGAAATGTTTCACATTAATCTGAAGAGAGAGATGTTTGTCACTTCAACTTGTTGTCCTGTCATATTAGTGTCATGTAAGAAATCTAAATGGAATGTGTTTATGAATTTCTGAAGAAACACACAGGCAGGTGTCATCTGGTCTAAAAAAAAAAAAAGTTTAATGTGGGTCAGGCAATTGGAAAACGGCTGTTCAACATGCTATAGTTCTCATAAAGGCTATAACTCGGTAACTAAAAAGATCTGAGATAAAGGTGCAATTGCACAGGTACTTGTTTGAAATAAAATGTTTGCTTCTTAATATTTTTGTGAAAAAAAAGTGTTTAATACATTTTTATAATATAAATTTTTTTAGGATTGAAAAAAATAAGTTTATTTGAAAAATTTATCTTTTGTAATATAAATATCTATACTGTCAATTTTGATTATTTTAATGCAGTAATTTAAAGCTAATTTATAAAAAAAAAAAAAAAAACTGACCCCAAACTTCAAACTGTTCAAAGTTTGTGAAGAATATTGTTCTCCAATATAAAATTAATTGTGCTGAATGTATATTGTATTTATTATATGATATACATATTTTTTGACTCTAATGTATATGCCTAGGAAAAACTTTAAAATCCAAACCTAATGAGAAGTATTCACTGGAATAAAAAGTGTGACAAGAAACCTAGTTCTGCCCAGTAAAGAGAGATTAACTGTTCAAACTTGAGATATTGATTTTTACCCTCCTCCACATGTTTGACTTTTCCAAAACATCAAAAAGCTATTGATGAGAAGCCAGTGACCTGATTTCCAAGGCAAGGCAAGGCTGTAAGCAGTAGGTGGGTATGCTGAACACCATTTGGTCAAATGCAGCTCTTATTTTCATGATGAATTTAACTATTATGCATCTCATGTAAAAGCATGGGGGCTGGACGGTTTCATGAACGATAGTGAGTCAATTGGCAAACACTGTCAGATTCAAGAGTCTCAAAATGATGGTTTTTGTTACTCTAAAAATCCCCGGGGTATCATTAACATTTACAGCAAAATAGTGAATCATTGTAAAAGTGCCTTTACTGTAAACACTGGCCAAGCTCGATTATATTCCTATTTACCAGAAAACCTTCAGAAACTGAAGAAAGAACTCAAAATAACTGAATAGCTGTCGTGCATTTTATCTAACAAATGAAATGCAACTATTAATGATTGCTGCCTAAAGATATAAATCTCTATTGTTTATGACTTCACTTCCATGTCTGTTTTATTCTAATACAGAAAGACGTAACATGATATACATGTTTTTGAGCCTGTTGATCACGTAATTTGATATTAACTTTCTCTTATTGCCATATACTCTGTCATCCGCATGCTACCTGCTGCGTTCGTGCTCGCATGAGTGACGTATATCACACTTTCCACCCTCTGCCACAACAGCTTGCCATTTGTAGCTAAAAAGGTGTTGATGGTGGGAGCCCGTGATGCTGCTTCCTGTCTCCATTGCACAACAGAATTTCCCCTCTGCCCGCCCACTTTCATTTTGTGCAGAAGCTGTGGGCTGTTTCACTTCAGTCTGTCCGAGTCTCTTGATAGAGTCTGTTCTGCTCAATGTAGACTGTAGCTTTCTCCAGCCACCCACACCGTTTGACCCCCGACTGAATGTTTTAGAGTGGTGAGTAACATATTTATTTACCTGTATTTTATAATGTAATGCTTATTTTTTCAATGTTTTGAAGCTGATAGCTAATTAAGTTAAACATATTATGCATACATTGTTTTTTTTTACTGTAATTTACATTACAGCTTAATATTTTGCTAATAATTTTCATGTGTTAGAAGACTAAAATGTATTTAATTTTATTTAATTTTATTTTATTTTATTTTATAAATGCATTATTTCTGCCATGAACTTCAGGTGTTGATTTGCAAAGCTTGATTCTATGATGCATTCTGTATTTAAGTTGCTATAGTGCTATAATAACAAATGAAACCATTTTCACCGATCAGGTAATCTGACCTAGAGGACTGCATCTATTGGTCATCACAACACAGCAAACCTATGAAGGTGTTGAGTGGTCACGGCGTGGTAAGTTATCACCTTTACCCATCAATTTCACCCACCTATTGTCTTTTAATATCATCATGGAAACTGATTAGTACGTAATTGAATTGACTTACTTCCCTAAATCCCATTGACAGGATAAACACATCTTTTGTTCTTTCTGTTTCAGTCTGTCGTCAAATCGTTGACCCAAAGCAGCATGGACGTAATCAACATGCCAGCCACAGATGTAAGTATATCGATCCCAAGATCTTACGCATACAGCGTTCCTTATCGCCTTCTGATCGATTGATTAGTGCAATTATGGATTCTTTAAAGGCTGAGTGTTGAGAACAAAGCCTACAATAGGATGCTACAAAGTCCTGACCTGTTAAATGTCAATAAATCTCACTTATACATGGTTTAGATGTGATGTTTACAAAGCTTGCACTGTTAAGCTCTTGTTGCACCAACCCAGAATCCCCCAGTTACTATGTTTAGTTCTGTTTTTTATTAGATATACCCCTAAAGTCCTTTGCTTCATCTTATTGATTTCTTTCATTTCTATTAGGTTCCAGTGAATACGGAACTCTCCCTTAGTCAGCAGACTAAAGCCAATCAGACCAGCTTCTCCCACACTGGTAAGCTAAAAGTCTCACTTCTGTTCTTTGAAATGTCATTGCACTTTAATAGGTTTTTTTTTATGTTGAAAAGAAGAAGAAGAAAAACGAACTAAACTAAAACAAAAAAAAAAACAAGTGTAAATACATTTTACTGTAAAATAGAATATCAGAATGTTAATTATTTTTAAAGAATATAGTGATTTTTACTGTTTATTAATATTTAACAGGAAACATCAACCAAAGGCGCTGGAAGAGCATCTTCCGTCAAGTACAGAAAAAGAACATAGAACATCCCAAAAACACACTGTTTGGGCGACCCTTGTCTGATGTCTGTCAAAAAGATGGGTGTCCTCCCATAGCAATTATGGTAAGAATTGTCATCTTGTGATACCATAGAACTTCAATGCAAAATCATAAACAAATTTGGTATTATATGTATGTGTTTTTAGTATTTCAAATGTCTTAATTTCCTTTGCAGGATATCTTTACATTGCTGCTGAGAAATGGTCTGTACACTGAGGGGTTGTTCAGGAGGGCCGGCAATGCCAGGGCTCTGAGAGAGATCAAGGCGCAGCTCAACGATGGGATAGAAGTGGATCTGAAAGAGCAGTCAGTCATTTTGCTTGCTGATCTTGTCAAGGTAAGGGACGACCTTGTGCAATATGATTTGATTTGACTGATTAACAGCAATTCTAAAGTCGAGAATATGCATATTTGATCATTAACATCTGTCTATTATGTGTATTTTGATTTGCAGGATTTTCTTAGACAACTGCCTGGCCGTTTGCTAATGGTGGAGAAGTACAAATCCTGGATGACTGCAATGGAAAAGGAAGGTCAAGAGCAGAAGTGTGCTGAACTTAAAATGTAAGTTATCTATTTTTTGAATAAAAAGTGTTTAGTGTAAATAAACTGTAATTGTGACCAGGTTTCCTTCATGTCTTTCTTTAGGGTGATCAACACACTTCCTGAGCCAAATATTCAGCTCTTGAAGCACTTTATGGTTCTGCTCTACCACATAAGTGAGAATGCAGATACAAACAAGATGAGTTCCACCAATCTGGCTACATGTGTTTCCCCCAACTTGCTCCAAACAGACAACGTGGAAAAGATGGAAGAGGTGAGTGTAGTGAAAATCTTGACCTTAAAGACTTCTCACATGATGTGGCTAAGAGCCAGAAAACAGAGGAAGAAAAGCTCAAACTAGTTTCATATGCAGACTTATTTTGACCTGTTTTCATGGGATTTCATAATCCATGTGATCTTTTATGTTGTTGATGTGCCCTTTGATTAATTCTCGTGTATCTTTGGGAATGTATTTGCAGGTGACGAAACTGACTGAGTTTCTCATTGACAACTGCCCTCAAATGTTTGGTGAGGATGCACTGACACTCTTTGGAGACTCTGATGAAGATGAACTCAGCGATAACCAAGGTAATTTTTTAAATATTGTGTCTTTGCCTATGCACTGGAGTTTACACTGCAGATCCATTTCAATGGGGATGAAGAATTAACTTTGTCTCAGATGTTCCTTAAAAAAACAAACACACAAATGAGATAATTATTGTTGACGTACAGTAAAAGTATAGAGGTATAAAAACAATATGGACAGTATAGCTCATTTGATCTTGAAATATATCTTGGGAAATATGAGAACATTGTTAATCACAACTAAGATCTCTTTTGAATCTCTTTTTATCAAGAGAAAACATGCAGGAGACTTTTACTGAAACAAACTGTAGACATCCATTGACCAATGAGAATTTGAGAGAGTCGGGTCCAAAAATCCAATTGGCTATCCAATTCCCACTTGATTTCAAATTGAGGAAGCTATTTCCACAGCCTCAAAACATCTTACTAATTCCCATCGGTCCAGGTTTCTCCAATGCATAGGCACTCTTTACATACGATGGCACAGATTTAGCAAAGCAAATGTAAACAAAATACTTGATAATTAATGAGTATCTGTCATTGATTTCTCCTTCAGACTCTTTTTCTTCGCACCGTCATGACTCTGCGTACGACAGTAATGACCCTGATGCAGACTCTATCAAATCCGGCACTGAAGAGAAATCCCAGGAACATTCCAGTGCAGAGGAACTTTGGACAAAAAAACTGACTCGCAGACGTTCAGAACCAGTAATCAACCTCATAGAGGGAGTTCAGCAGCACCTTGCCCTCTCCAGGAGCCAGACAGAAATTGACTTTTATGACAAACTCTTAACAAAGCAGATCTCTGATGACTGTGTTGTGGTTAGAGCAGGCAACAGCTTGGGGAAGAGCTATGGGGCCAGGACATCCTCTAAAGACTGCCCGTATTGTTTTTCAAGCTCACTTGAGAGTTGTTTCTCCAGCGCTTCGGAGAGCTCTATCCATAACAGTCCTCTTATTGTGCCTTTATGCAATCAGAGAAAAGCCCTTCAACGCAAACATTCCTTCCCCTCCCGCCAATCGGCACCTGCACCGAATCGCTTGGAGACCCCCAAAAGACGCACGCAATCCATGAAGAGCGCACACATCAGAAGCAGGACTGTCTTCGGGCGAAGCGGCTCCACCAAACGGGCCATCGAGAGAGCCCTACGCCACAGCCAGACCCT